GGGCGACAGGAGCCCCCGTGGAGACAGGGGGCGGCTGCGCAGCTGGCGTTGGGGGCCCCCGGCGGCGACCCCCGGGAGCTACGGCAGGAGGGCCCCGACATCCCCGGGGGGCAGGCGCAGCGTGGCCCGCGGGCCGTCTGCTGGCATGGGACGCCCACCGGGCACTGCAGCTCCCGGCAGGTGCGCGCCACCCGCTCGCAACGCGGACCCCAGAACGGCTGGCGGTCGGGTGGGGAGAAGACAGAAAACAGCGGAGTAGGGGAAGGGGAGGGAAGGAGGAAGGGAAATGGAAGGACGGGGAAGAGGAGCGAGGGTCGAAAGAGGAAAGAGTGAGGGTCAGGACTTGGGAGAGGGTGAGCCCCCAACCTCCCCATGTCGCGCCCGACCTCTCCCTTCTCCACCGGAGGCCCCACTTTGCAGATGAGCCCCGCCTTCCCCAGGAGCCCACGCCTCCAAAGCCCAACCTCACTCCCTCTCCCCTCAAACCTCCAGGTAACTTCAGTGTATCCCAGGAACCACATTCCCTCCCACCCCTGCTCCCCTAAAGCCACGCCATCCCCGGAGGCCACGCCCCCACTCTTCTCCCAGAGGCCACACCTACCGGGACGCAGTGGCAGGTGAAAGACAGCCCACCCGCAGGACCCGGGCTGGAACGGCACTGGCCTCCATGCTGGCATGGCTGGGACTCACAGGGAGACAGGACAGTCTGACAGCGGGGACCTGGGCGAGCAGGACAGATGGATCAGCCACAATGCGGGAACGACAGGCAGGGTCCCAGGCCAGTGCCCTCTCCTACGCTTACCTGTGAAGCCAGCATGGCAAAGGCAGCGGAAGCCCCCTCCTGGGTCCTGCAGGCAGTCCCGGGTGTGTGCCACATGACAGGCACCTGAACGACACTCATTGATGTCGGCCTCGCAGCGCATACCGGTGTACCCTGGGGGACAGGAGCAGCGGAAGCCACCCACCAGGTCCACACAGGTGCCATTGTGTAAGCAGCGGGGGCCTGAGTCCAGGGGAGGGCCTGGGCCACAGTCGTCCTCATTAATCTCGCAGAGCACGCCTGGAGGAAGGGAGGAGGGGGGAGTAGTCAGGAGGGGATAAAGATTCAGCTTCCCATCCTGTCCCCCAGCCCTGGCCCTGGCATACCCAGCGTCCCAGGGGGACAGGAGCAGAGATATCGAGCCACGAGGTCAATGCAGGAGCCCCCGTGCTGGCAGGGCTGGGAGGCACACTCGTCTACGTCGTCCTCACAGTCGTCACCAGTGTAGCCAGCCAGACACTTCAGTGGAGTGAGAGAGGGACCCATTCAACCCAGAGGGACACAGACACACTTGGACATACCTCATGAAGACACAGAGAACCCCAGCACAAAAGGACCCATACAAGACGTCCAACACACACAAGCCCAATGTGCATGACAAACACAGACACAGACACACCCAGTGAAAGGAAACACACCCAGACGTGGAGGGCCACAGACACACCCAGTGCAGAGGGACACACACATGCAAATACCCGGGGAAAACACCCAGATACCCCCAAGACACACAACCAGAGATGCAGAGTCAGACATACCCAAAGAGAACCCACGCACAGAGACACGCTTAGACATACCCCGGAAACAACCGAGGACAGAGACACCCTCAGACACAAACACCCAACATCTACCCAGAGTGACACTCACAACGATACACCCAGATTTACAAAAGCAAAAACCCAGACACACCTAGAGAGAAACATGCCCACGCCAAGCCATAGACACGGAAACATGTGCCCAGACACAGGCAGACATGCCCAGGCATGACTAGCTCCTCTTTCCTCTCCTGGGGTGCACCCTTACCTCGCACACATAGCCCCCCATGTAGCCGCGGCAGGTGCCCCCGTGCCGGCAGGGCTGGGCCAAGCAGGGGTCCACCTCCTGCTCACAGTGGCTGCCCGTGCGGCCCTCTGGGCACACACAATAGTGGGAGCTGTCCTGGTCCACACACTGCCCGCCCGCCTGACACAGCTGCTCCGGCCGCACCCCTGAGAAGAGGACACGGGCATCAGGCACAGAGGCGGCGACACCCTCTCCCCTCTTTCTGCCCTCATCACACACATCACCCAACATCCCTGCTGGCATCAGTTCCCAGGGGCTCACCCACACTCCATCGGGTTGTCACTCACACCCCCAGCTGGCACGGTCTCACACACACACCATCCCAGCTGTCTGATGGTGACAAACACAGCCTCCTGGCTGGCTGCCACCACCCACACACACCCAGTCACACACACCCCATTTCACCCTTATTCGGCTCACTAGCAAGAGGTGCGTGTACACACCCCGCCCCACACACCCAGCCACACCCTCCGCCTCACCGATCTGGGCTGCGGCCTCCCTGCAGGGCAGGCTTCGGATGTCACAGAGGCGGCCGCTCCAGCCCGGGGGACAAAGGCAATAAGCCCCGGTCTGGACACAGCGACCCCCGTTCTGGCAGGACGCGCGGCTGCACCAGTCGACCAGCGTCTAGAGGGGACACCCTCAGCGTCAGAAACCGTGCCCCGGCTTCTCTCCCAGGACCCGGGGCAGTCCCCTCCCCAGGACACCCCTGCGGACTCCTCCCCCAGGACCCCAGTGACCCCGCCCACCTGGCACTGGGTGCGGGTGAAGCCCTCCGGGCAGGCGCAGCGGTAGCCGGGCTGGGCCGCGCTGCAGACGCCCCCGTGCAGGCAGGGCCGCGAGAGGCAGGGGTCGGCCTCATGTTGGCAGTGGGCGCCCGTGTAGCCGGGGCGGCACCGGCAGCTGAACGAGTTCACGCCGTCCACGCAGGTCCCACCATTGAAGCAGGAGCTGGGGGAGGGGGAGCGGAAGGGGTCAGGCTCCGCCCCCTCACAGGCCCCGCCCTCCTCCTGGATCCCTCTCACCTTTGGGGGCCTCCCACTCTGACCCGTGCCCCCACGAGATGCTGCAGCCCCAGCAGAGGGCGTTCCGTAGCCCAATTTACCAGGTGCTTCAGCGCTAAGGCGGGAGCCACGTGGAGGCCCCGCCCCCTCAAGGACCAGCCTCTCTAAGGTGACCTCCACACAGAAGCCCTACCCCTATCTCGGCTCTGCCCCATCTGTCATCAGTCTTTAGGTGAGTGCCGAGAGGAGGACCCCACCCTTGATGTCCCCACCATCTGACGCCAGAGTCCCTGAGCTCCAAGTAGAGGCTCCGCCCACCTGGGGCTGCAGTCGGGCAGGTTCCTCTCGCAGTGGAAGCCCCCATAGCCCGGTGGGCAGGTGCAAGTGAAGGAAGCCACGTGGTCGGTGCAGGTGCCCGGGCCGCAGGGGCTGCTCAGGCATTCATCCACATCGCGGGCGCAGCGTGGGCCAGCGAAGCCCGGAAGGCAGGAGCAGGAAAAGGAGCCCACCCCATCCTGACATGAGCCGCCATTCAGGCACGGGTCTACGGACAGGAGGAAGGAGGTCTGGTCACTCACCTTGCCCACCTGCCCCCACACAGCCCAGTCTGTCCCGCCCAGGCCTTGCATAGAGGGGAACTCGGAAGAAAACCAGGTTCAATTGGGAGGGGGCACTTTTGGTCACCGGGGTCAAATTCTGTCCCCTTCTGTGGTCTCATCCCCACCCCCTGCCCCCGCCTTATCTGGAAATCACACCTATGTGGAAAGAGAAGGAGGCTGGGAGAGCTAAATGGTACCCAGCATGTCTTTTACACTTCCAGCTGCCAAACACATGCTAGTAGTTATGCCTGCTCTACTTCCCGGGCTTAGCACAGACCTGCACTGGCCAGCACTGTGGCCACCGGCCACATGTGGCTACTGAGCCCTTGAAATTGTGCCTGGTCCGAATTGAGATGTGCTATAAGTGTAAAAGAGTTTTGGATTTCAAAGACAGTAAGAAAAAAAAAGTAGGGCCGGCCCGTGGCTCACTCGGGAGAGTGCGGTGCTGATAACACCAAGGCCATGGGTTTGGATCCCATATAGGGATGGCCGGTTGGCTCACTGGGTGAGCTTGGTGCTGACAACACCAAGTCAAGGGTTAAGATCCCCTTACTGGTTATCTTTAAAAAAAAAAAAAAAAGTAAAATATCTCATTAATAATTTTTATATATTGATGGGCTGATGTATGGCTCACTTGGGAGAGTGTGGTGTTGTCAACACCAAGTCAAGGGTTAAGATCCCCTTACCAGTCATCTTTTTAAAAAAAGATAATAATTTTTATATTGATTACAGGTTGAAATGTTAATTTTATATATCAGGTTAAATAAAATATATTATTTATATTTAATAATTAAAATTTAAATATTTGAAATTTGATATCACCCGTTTCTTTCTACATTTTTCACGTGGCTACTAGAACATTTTAAGTTGCATATGGGGCTTGGCACGGGTGAGGAGAAGACAGAGCTAGCCCACCTGTGAAGCCAGGCTGGCAGACAGAGCGCTCCTGGAGAACTCTCTGGGGACTTTTATCTCATACCTGGCACAGTTATTTTTTTTTTTTTTTTTTGGTCTTTTTTCGTGTCCAGCAACGGATCGCAACCCTCAGTGTCGCACCCGTACCGGACCGGGACCGGCAACGGGATCGCAACCCTTGGTGTTGCGGCCGCACCTCGCTCAGCCAGTGAGTGGGAACTGGTCTGTATGTGGGATCCGAACCCTCGGTGGGAGCGCCGCCATGCTCCCAAGCAGCGCATTGTAGCAGTGCGCCACCGGGCCGGCCCACCTGGCACAGTTCTGACTTGCTTACTCTTAGGGGCAGTGCACAAGCTTCAGAGTCAGACAGACCTGTGCTCCAAGCCCAGCTCATCGCCTTAATTACTTAGTGACCTTGTGTGAGTCACTTAACCTCCTTGGGCCTCAGTTTTCACATAAGCAAAATGAAAACAGTAAGAGCTGTAAAGGTGAAATACAAGCACAGTGCCAGGCACACAGATCAATGTGGTCCCTCGGGCAGCACCCCCAAGAGCTCCACTGCACTCACTGGGATCACAGTCATCAATGTCCTGATCACAGGAAGGGCCAGTGTACCCCCCGTGGCAGGTGCAGCTGAAACTCCCCTCCAGGTTGGCACAGGTACCATGAGGGCCGCAGGGTGAGGGGCCAGCACATTCATCCACATCCTGCTGGCATCGTGGGCCTGGGGGTGGGGAGCAAGGTCACACCTAGAGTTAGGGGGTGCCTGGGGCTCAGGAAGAACCTGCAGGCTGAGATGACTGAAGGCAAGGACATGCTGTCATTTGCCTCCTGGAGTTTTGCATATGCAGTTCCAGAACTTCCTTCTCCCTGTCTCAGTGGGTGGTGAATACTTACTCTGAGGTCTGCTCCTCCAGGAAGCTGTCCCCAGACCCTCAGCCTGAGTCCTAGCATCCCTACCCCACATCCCCTCCTCTTCTCCAGGGGTGACCCACATGGGCTGTATCTGTGTCCAGTTGTCTTTTCCCAGAAGGAAGAGGCCCTCAAAACCAGAGCTGGGTCCTCCTCTGGGTCCCCAGCATCATCCAGTATGGGGCAGGGTTCAGAGAAGATGAAGGAGAAGAGGAGGAAGAGAAAGAAGTAGTTTGTGTACCTTGCCAGCCAGAGGGACAGGAGCAGACAGTCAGCTGGCCAGGGGCAGACTCGCAGTGGCCCCCATGCTCACAGGGGTTCAGGGTGCAGGGGGACAGCAGCTCACACTGATGGCCTGTCGGGAGGGCAGGCAGAGAGAAATAGTCTTAAGAGACTCCCTGTTTCCACCTCCTCCTCCACTGTCCCCCCCTTGACACTCACCTCCCAATCTCCTGGAGGTGGGGGAGAAAGAAAAGCAAAAAAGAGGGAAATGTAAGAGGAAAAGAGAAAGTAGAAGGGAAATGAGAAGAATGAGGGTGTCAGGGGGCCTGGGGAGGGAAGGTGGGGACACCCACCCTGGACACCAGGGGGACAGGTGCAGCGGAAGCCCATTCCATCGCTGGTGCAGGTACCACCGGCCTGGCAGGGCTGGGACTCACAGGCATCTCGGACCAGGCTCTGGCTGCAACGGGGGCCACTCCAGCCAGGCTCACACACACAGCGGAACCTGGCAGGGGAGGAGGTCAGGGCCGGCAGGTGGACCAGGGGGTGGGGGGGAGTTGTCAGGAGTTGAGGAGGGGCCTCACCCGCTGGGTGCATCGTGGCAGATGCCGTGACTGCAGGGTTCATGGGCGCAGGGATGGCTCGGGCGGAGGCAGAGTGGAAGTAAGGAGCCGGGCGGGCAGAGGCAGTGGAAGCCGTTTTCACCGTCCACGCAGGAGCCTCCCTCACCGCATGGGCTGGATGCACACTCGTTGATCTCCACATTGCAGAGGGGCCCTGGGGAGCACACAGGCAATTCATCCCAGGACGAGGATAGCACAGCCAGCAGGGGAGGAACAACTTTGCCCCTTTTAATACAGCTACGCCTATTTCTCATCACACATCAGCTCTTGTGCAAATTAGGACTGCCACCTCCAGCTCCTAGACCTGGAGCTGCCTTGCGCCAGATCATCCTAGTCCCCAAATTCACATGAAGTCACTTTCATTTCCACCGAGGATTACTGGGGCCCCATTCGGAGGCAACCCAGTCCCTGAGACCGAACGCCTTCATCTATGCTCCAGGGTAATCTAGAGCCAACACGGGGACAAACTCGTGCCAGTGAGAGAGCACAACCTCAGGGCAAAGCGTGGACAATCTCATCGGACAAGCGTGTACATAGAGGGGGCAAAACCCAGCCAACAGAGACGGGTGGCTTCACTCTCACCCTATAAGGACTCGTGGCACGGCTAGCCCACCTGTGAAGCCAGGCTGGCAGACACAGTCATAGCGGTTAATGCCGTCACGGCAGACTCCGAAGGTACACGGATTGCTGGCACAGTCGTCTACGTTCACCTCGCAGTTCACACCTGGGGGAGGGAAACATGACAAGGAGTAGCCACCACTTTGCACCACCAGACACACCATTCCCAAACCCTCTCTGGCCCGCCGGGTGTACTGTTCCTGCCCCAGCCCAGCCCGCAGCCCCACCTGTGGTTCCGGGAGGACAGCGGCAGAGGTATTTGTCCACCAAGTCTAGGCACTTGCCCCCGTGGCGGCAGGGCTGGCTGCGACACTCGTCCACTTGGCTCTCGCAGCGTGTGCCCGTGTAGCCCGGGGCGCAGGCACACGAGAAGCTGGCGATGCCATCCACGCAGCGCCCGTGGTGGCACGGGTCCGGAGAGCAGTCGTCCACGTTGCGCTCACATAGAGGGCCCTCGAAGCCTGGCATGCCAGAGGATCAGGCCCCGGCCACCTGCCAAGGGCCCCAGCCACCTGCCCACAGCCTTGGCCCTAGGCCAGCTCAGCTCTATCTCAGGCCCCGCCCATCGAGCCGTAGGAGGCGGGTTCAATTCAGGCCCCGCCCCTAACTTGCTTCCACCCCATCCAGCTCCCAGTTCCAAGACTCGCCTCTAAGCAAGATCCTCCCACAGTTACATTCCACCCCAGCTGTGGCCCCAGCCTCAAGTCCTTGCACTATCAGCCCTGTTCTGTCCCGGGGTGCCTGGGGAAGGAGGAGGGGGAAAGTGGAGGGGGCTGGACCCGCCCCCTCCAGTTACCTTCACCCTGCACCCTGCCAGACCCTTGGCCCCACCCCTAAGCTTACGTCGGCCTATGGCTCCACCCCTTCGCCAGGCCGTTGGCCCCGCCTCCAGGCCCTCTGCGACTGGCCCCGCCTCCAGATTCCTGCCGGACTGTCACCGGCCGCCCTCACCTTCTGCGCAGCGGCACTCGTAGCCATCGGGCTGGTCCACGCACTTGGCGCCGTTCCGGCAGGGCGTGCTGGCACATTCGTCCACGTCCAGCTGACACGTGGACCCGCTGAAGCCTGGGGTGGGGAGTGGGATGAGCGGAGGTCCTGATAGGATCAGAGCAGTCACCGCTCGCCAGCCCTGCCTTGTTTGAGCGGGAAAACCCATTTACTTGGTTTTAATTTAATTTCAATGTATTTTCATATAAGTTACCCGCTGACATGGTCTTAAAGGTTCCCACCCTAGAGCCTTTGCCTCTGGGCAGACACGTCTTTTTCAGGGTCCCCAGCCCAGGGTCCTCACCCGAGGGGCAGGTGCAGGTGAAGCCATTGACTCGGTCCCTGCAAACCCCACCGTTGACACACGGGCTGCTCTGACACTCGTCGATGTCCACCTCGCAGTAGGTTCCTGTGAAGCCTAGAGGCGGGGGAGGGAGGAAGGTTGTGGCAGTGGGGACTACGGTCCCAGCTGGCCCAAGATTCATTAGACTCTTTAGGAGCCTTGCCTTCAAAACATCCCCTACTCTCTCCAGTCCTCAGACTATGCCACCAGCCCCTGGCCGCAGGACCCATCAAAGCCTTGTACCCAGCTTCAAGTCCCCGCCCCAGCCTCAGTGCAAGACTGTCTGCAGGCTTCACCTTGACCCCACTGGAGCCGCCCTCCTATCGTCCATCACCCCAAGAGGGTCCTGAGGCCCACACTCCACTTCCTCCTAGGACCACGCCCCTAGCCTTGCACAAGATTCTCCTCTGACCTTGCCCCAACCTAATCGCCCCACCCTCATGGCAGGCTCCAGTCTCTGAGGGTCCCACTCCAAACCCAGTCCCGCCTTCCCCCTCCCCGCCCCGCCTGCGGGTTTCTCTCGCCCCTCCTCCAGCTTCAGGCCTCGCCCCGGCCACGCCCACCACGGACCTGCCATGCAGATGCAGGTGAACTGGCCTATGCGGTCGAGGCATGTGGCCTGGTTGCGGCAGGGCCCCGACAGACACTCATTGACGTCAGTCTCACAGCGCGGGCCGGTGTAGCCACGGCCACACTGGCACAGGAACGACCCCTGCGTGTTCACGCAGCGACCCAAGTGCTCACACGGGTTGGCGCCTGCGGGAAGCGGCACAGCTGGTGTGGGTGTGGCAGGCCAAGGCCCCGTCCCTCCTTTCCCACTCCGTTCCCAGACGGTGTCCCCCTCACCGATGGAGCACTCATCCACGTCCTGGTCACACGCCCCGCCCGTGAAGCCGGGTGGACAGGTGCAGATGGCCCGACCATTCACGGGGTTCGTGTCGCAGATAGCATCCTCGTGACAGGGGTTGCTGACACAGGCGTCATCCAGATGACACAGAAGGCCTGGAAGGGATAGGCAGAAGTCAAGGACAGACCTTCCAGCTCTGCCCATTTTTTGTTTGCTTGTTTTAGATATTTACTTTTTATTTATATATATTGTTTTTTGGTGGCTGGCCGGTAGGGGGATCCGAACCCCTGACCTTGGTGTTATAAGGCTGCGCTCTAACCAACTGAGCTAGCCGGCCAGCCCCTAGCACATTGTTTTCTGTTTTTATTAACTTGCAGTGTATTTAGTAGCTGTTTTTTATCCATTTATTATGAAAAACTTCAAACATACAGAAAAATTGATCATTTATGCAAGATACCCACCAGTTACACTATCTACATTCAACTATTGTTAATCTATTTTTTTTCTGAGCCATTTGAAAATAAGTTGCAAACATCCACATATTGTCTTAAATATCTATCGACTCTTCTGATTATGAAACAGTCCTACCCTTCTGCCAGTCCTACCCTTCTACCTCCATTTTCAAGCTCTCCTCCTCAACACCTTCTCTGACCTTTGCCACTTCCAAAGGTTGCCTCTCTTTTCTGTTACACTTCCCAATAGCTCCCCCTCCTGATAGCTTCAGGCCTCTGCCAGGCTTACTGCCGACCCCAAATCCAGCCTTCAGCGTACTCTAACACTCAAATCAGCCTCCATCTTTGCCCCATTCCAGAACCATCCATGGCTCCCTGCTGCCTACAGGGAAAACAGCCACTCACCAGTCTTGCCCATGGGACAGGCACAGTAGAAGGAGGCCACGCGGTCATGGCAGGTGGCCCCATGGAAGCACACGGCCGTGGCACAGTCATCAATATTCTGACTGCAGCTCTCGCCAGTCCAGCCATTGACACAGACGCAGCTGTGGCCACCCAGTGTGTTGAAGCAGGTGCCTCCATTGTGGCAGGCATTGGGCTGCAGCTGACACTCATCCACATCCTCCGTGCAGAATTGGCCTGTGGCACACAGACGCACTAGTCCAGCCACCTGGTGCATGTGCACTCCAGTTCTGCCACCCAGCTCCCTTCAGCCCCCATGCTCACCTGTCCACTCAGGAGGACACTGGCAGTTGTAAGTGTTGACTCCATCCACACATGTCCCCCCATTTAGACATCGGTGTCCTGGACAGTCGTCCACATTCACTTCGCAGTTCTGGCCCTCAAACCCTAGCATGGCAGGAGGGGACGAGGACGGTCACTGCCAGGCTGGCCTGTTGTCCCCATCCCCACTGCCTCCCCTGAGTACATCTCACTCACCAGGAAGGCAGGCACAGTCATAGGTGAGATCGCCACTCTGTCTACATGTGCCCCCGTTACGGCACGGTGAGGGAGCACAAGGCACCACGGGGGTCTCACACAGTGGCCCCGTGTAGCCAGCTGGGCACTGGCAGCGGAAGGAGCCAGGTGTGTTGAAGCAGGTGCCACCGTGGCGGCAGGGCCCACCCACCCGGCACTCATCCACATCGCTTCGGCAGCTGCGGCCCTGGTAGCCAGGTGGGCAGGAGCAGATAAAGCGGCCATCGGGCCCCACCGAGCAGCGGGCTCCATGGGCACAAGGGCTGCTGAGGCAGGGGTCTGGCAGGGAGCAATCGGGACCTGGGGGGATCAGGGAAGGGTGAGCTAGGGACTGACCACACCCTTGCCTGCCTTAGGATCCCCTCCAGATCCCCCCCCCTCACCTCGGAAGCCCCGGGGGCACCGGCAGGAGAACCGAGCGGTGCCCGCCACCACTGAGCTCTGGCAGACGCCGCGGCCAGCACAGGGACCCGAGTGGCAGGGGTCTTCCAGCTGGCACCTCTCACCCACCCAGCCTGGTGGGCACCTGTGGGCAGAGACAACTTGTTGGGGCAGTCCAGGGCAAAGCGGCCCCAGACACAGAGATACACACAAGACAAGCACGAAACACACAGGCGAACAGACCAGCAAATACACACGCTCATCCACTCATGCAACGACTATTTACTGAGTGCCTACTATGTGCTAAGCAATAGGAAGACGGCAGCAAACACAATGAAAGTGGTGCCTACCCTCCGGAGCCTCACAGTCCAGTCAGGCAAAGAGAACATACACAAATAACAAAGTCATATACAACATGCTGGCAGGGGGTGGTGCCAGCCTTGAGGTCCACGACAGGTGGGGTGAGTTAAGCAGTGACCCCAAAAAGACATGCCCATAGAACCTGTGACAATGGCCTTACATGGAGAGTCTCTGTAGATGTAATTAAGTAAACGATGTCAGGATGAGATTATCCTGGATTATCCAGGAGGGCCCTAAATTCAATGACAAGTGTTCTGATAAGAGAAAGGCAGAAGATTAGGGAGCGGAAGAAGAGCAAGGCACGTGGAGGCAGAGATTGGACTGAGGCGGCCACAAGCCAAGGAACGCTTGGAGGTAGCAGAAGCTGGCAGAAGCAGTGAAGGATTCTCCCCGGGAGCCTGTGCAAAGAGTGCGCCCTTCCAACACCTTGATTTCAGCCTCCAGAACTGTGAGGGAATACATCTGTGTTGTTTTAAGCCACGCGATTGGGGTAATCTGTCACAACAGCCAGGGAAACTAATGCACAAGCTGAAGGGGACAGAATGATGGGGGGGAGTGGGTATTATATTTTCACAGACCGAAGAGGGTGAGGAGGGGGCTCAAGGGCTGAGCGTTCCAGGCAGAGGGAACAGCAGATGCAAAGCCTCCAACTCCAAGAGACCACCACCGTCCAGATACACACAGACACACAGGCAGATCCAGAAACCACACACAGAGGGAGACGCCACCGGACGTACCGGCCTGGCAGACACTCTGACACCAACCCGCAACCTCCCACACGGATGTGGGCAACCCTCGCTCACATGGCCAGACGGGAGGACTCCCACAAATCCTCAACTCCCTTCCCGGGTCACATACGGCCTCCCTCCCATGGCAGGGGGAGGGTCAGAGGTGGGGTGGTCACCAGTGTTGGTGCCCCCCTGTCCGGGGGAGGTCCTTCAGCCTGTAGCCCCTTCCCCAAGCCCACCAAGGCAGCCGTGAGTGTGGGAGAAATGAGAGCTGGGAAGGAAAGACTGGAGACCTCGCGGGGGCACTGGCGGGGTCGGCGGGACGCACGTGGAGAAGCCAGAGGGTCCAGGCCCTGCCCCCGACACAGCCAACCCCCCCACC